GAGATAAAAAAAAAAAAATTCCCCTTCCCGCTACATTAAGATCAATATGGACCACCGAAATTTGGCGTTCATTTAAAAAAAATAAACCATAATTTTCAGTAATACTGACTTCAAAAATTATGATACAAAAATAATTCCATTCATACCACAAACCAACGCCGTTTTTGTTTACTTTTCACAACTGTTACAAAGTATTTCATTTCTGGTTAAAATACCAGCTAATCAATCGTAGACCACAAGTTTGGAGTCTGTTTAGATCTAAACAAAGGCAGATGATTGCAAACAACTGCTGTCATGGCAAAACGTTGCACATCGTGAATGATTTTTTTTTTCACTGCATGCAAATTATTTCCCTGATGCACTTAACAAAGTCAAAGCTGACGTACAACATTCGTTGCAGAACGCGTGAAAAGTACTTCGCGTTCCACTCGCTTTGAAGGTAATGAGCATAGTCGTCAGGACGAAGTCTTACAACTCAAAGATGGCGATAACGTTACACCGTAAATATGCAGTCAAAACCAATGTGCATGTTACACTATTTAATTTTTCTAGGCAGCGGTGTGATGTGTCTAATCACCGTAAACCATGTGTCATTTGTTTGGTCCCACAATGTGTCTTCCATGTGCTTGCCGATCACCGAACAGTGCGGAATGCCGCCGGTACATAGTGTTTACACACTTTTTTTTACCGTACCATTTTTACCATTTAAAACTTAATTTCGACCCACCAACCAATAGGAATCGTGCTCTTTGCAGAGTGACACTGCAATCCTGTCGCAGAGTGCAATAATCGACATTCGGCGAGTCGCACAATCGCGTCGCAAAGTTAGTTTTTAGACCCCAATACATACATGCCATCTGAGATCTTCTAACACAGAACCCACATATAATTTTATGGCTTGGTGATATCATAAGATACTGAAAACTCTATCACAATGTAAAGCTACGTAACAGCTTGGTGATATTCAGCTTTTGGCAAATCCCATTGCAGTTGTATTTATTACAGTACACATATTACTTTGTAACATGTTAAAAGCTTCAAACAAAACTTTGCAGACAATGTAACTTTAAACAAGGTCTTCACCTGACCCAGTTCCCATCATGTTTAGACAGTGTGGAATGTATACAATTAAGAATTATTACATTACTACATACACATTGGATGTTTTTTTAGCTCTGACATGGAGGAATTTGGCAATTGTTAGATAATGCTTTTAAATGTGTACCAAATCACGTGATCCAAGGAACAAACATCAACATGTCTTAGACTGTTCAACGAGAATTCTGAGACTCAATAAAACCCCGGACAATGCCCTTGGTGACGTGGCCTAATTTGTTGAACATATAGTGTTCATTCTTTCAACGGGTTCATCACTGTGCCAATGATTGAGAATAATGTAGTACCCAAAAGACGACACCCATCACATCCTGGCGTCGGATCAAGTGACCTTCCCCAGAATAATATACTTAGTAAACGGTTGCTAGTAACGTACGTGTTGTAGTACTCAAATGATATCGAACTTACCATGGCCTGTTTGCACTCTTGCGCGTCGACAGTCAGTTTTTCGTTTAGCTTCCTAAGCTCGCTATCATCTTCTTCCATACGTGTTATCCGTTCCTGTAAACTTGAGTGCATTTTTTGTTGGTCCAGTAGTTTGTGATTGGCCCCTTGTAGGTCTCCCGATATCACGTCGTTTCTTTTTTCTAGAGCTCCCTTTTTCATAACTAACGCCTCGTATTCCTGCTCAAACCTGGCTGCTTGTTGAATCAGATCCTTATTGCGGGATGAAACTGTCCAGTAATTAAAAGCTAATATACTTATCACAACTAAAAGTCCGACCACAACAAACGGGGGAGATCGTGTTCCTCTCATTCCGCGATTATTGGAAGCCATTTTGCAGTCTTCGGGCATGTTGTGTTGATGTGTCACTGACCTGCGCATGCGCTGTAGTAAGCACACCTGTTGTTTCCGCTACGAACCTGATTAACAATAATCCCAACAGAAACAACTCATTTACATGTAATAATAAAACAGTCTAGTGTCGTATGTTTAGATTCAAATCATACTAAGTGTCTATAATTTCGTATCCTGTACAAAATAGTTAATTAAAACATTACGACCGGTGATTCTGAGAAGTAATTCCAGCGCACATCACGAAGTTAATTTCTAGTCAATTCAAAATGAAACTTTAAATATAGCGTGAAACTCTTTTTAGTTCACGATAAATAATCAATTGTACTATTTAATTAATATTGTTGTTTTCAAATGAACAGAAAAATTAGTCAAAATAAAACATAATATTGTGTTAAAGTGTATCAGTGGTGTGTCCATGACAGCCTTGCCACAATGGCGACGAAAATTTGTCAATCGTATTGTCGACTGACTTTTGTCTCACTGCGTGGAGTCAGAATCATACGGCCAGGCTATCCATAAATCAACCAACAATGACGCAGTTCTATATAAAAAAAATCTTAGTGAATAGTAATTAGATGTGGTCCACCTAAGTATTATGGTGGTCAACATAAGAGCAATTTAAATATTTCATGGATTTTAGGGTATAATAGAAAATGAATTTGGATTAGATAATAAACATACGGCAACAATACTTACACACCAGAATTATAAGATGAATGGTATGAAAAGTAAAAATCAGTGACGATTGCAGCCACAGCTGTTCGATTTGATTCGAGCTATGAGTGTGTTTACAGTATTTACGGTCCGGGTTTAGCCCACACGTTGCATAACAATTATAAATAAGTTAGTACACTACTGGGATCATTAGAGTGTTTAGTATGGTGAATAACAAATTCAGTATATTACATATATTAATTTGTTAATCGTATAATTATCTAAATTAATACTAATAACTGATTAGGCTTATCCGTTTGCGGGAACAAAATTTTATGGGTAAATACGACTCCATAATGTACAAGCATAGGAAAAACAGTAACTAAAAATCGTCTGGCACACGTGAATAAAATATTTGCGAAATTCCTTGAGTTCCAGATTTTAAATGGTGAACTCCTGGCAAACATAAAATGTACTGAACTGCAATGAAGAGATACTAGTACAAGTCTGTGAAGAAGAAATCGGTAATATGATAAATTAGATATTTATATTATATGCCTGTCTGCAACTTTTAATGCAAGGATTCTTTCCCTAGCATTATGTTTTGATGCCCTTAATGGTCAAATATCTTAAATCACGGGGAGTAGCTTGAAGAGTGCGACAGTGCATTTTCCCCATGGTGTCTTGTTTGTAGCATTTTAATTTTCTTCAATTTCGGCAACAATTGTACTTGCATTTCTTCCAGCCACCCCCATTATTTCAAGCGGTCGGTCCCTTATCATATAGTTTGTATGTAACCTTGACAATAATTGTACATTCATAGGTTGCCAAAAATATAAAAAGATTTTCTTTCTGACTCTGATTATGTGCGATTTAGAGTCACTTTCTGACCATTCACTTATGGTTTAATTTAGATGGGTCACTCTTAGACCATCCACTAAATGTTTTCACTTTGAATGGTCACTATCTGACCATTGACTCAAGATCTCATTTAGATAGTCACTCTGAGGCCATTGACTTATGGTTTCATTTAGATGTGTCACTCTTGGACCATTCACTTATGGTTTCATTTAGATGTGTCACTCTTGGACCATTCACTTATGGTTTTATTTAGATGTGTCACTCTTGGACCATTCACTTATGGTTTCATTAAGATGGGTCACTCTTGGACCATTCACTTATGGTTTCATTTAGATGCGTCACTCTTAGACCATTCACTTATGGTTTCATTTAGATGTGTCACTCTTAGACCATTCACTTATGGTTTCATTTAAATATTCACTCTGAGGTCATTCATTCACTTATGGTTTCATTTTGATGGGCCACTCTTAGATCATTCACTTATGGTTTCATTTAGATGTGTCACTCTGAGGCCATTCACTTATGGTTTCATTTAAATATTCACTCTGAGGCCATTCATTCACTTATGGTTTCATTTTGATGGGCCACTCTTAGATCATTCACTTATGGTTTCATTTAGATGTGTCACTCTTAGACCATTCACATATGGTTTCATTTAGATGTGTCACTCTTGGACCATTCACTTATGGTTTGATTTAGATGGGTCACTCTGAGGCCATTCACTTAAGGTTTCATTAAGATGGGTCACTCTTGGACCATTCACTTATGATTTCATTAAGATGGGTCACTCTTAGACCATTCACTTATGGTTTATTTAGATAGTCACTCTGAGGCCATTCACTTATGGTTACATTTAGATGGGTCACTCTTGGACCATTCACTTATGATTTCATTTAGATGGGTCACTCTTAGATCATTCACTTATGGTTTCATTAAGATGGGTCACTCTTAGACCATTCACTTATGGTTTTATTTAGATAGTCACTCTGAGGCCATTCACTTATGGTTTCATTTAGATGTGTCACTCTTGGACCATTCACTTATGATTTCATTAAGATGGGTCACTCTTAGACCATTCACTTATGGTTTTATTTAGATAGTCACTCTGAGGCCATTCACTTATGGTTTCATTTAGATGGGTCACTCTTAGATCATTCACTTATGGTTTCATTAAGATGGATTACTCTTAGACCATTCACTTATGGTTTTATTTAGATAGTCACTCTGAGGCCATTCACTTATGGTTTCATTTAGATGTGTCACTCTTAGACCATTCACTTATGGTTTCATTTAATATGTCACTCTTGGACCATTCACTTATGATTTCATTAAGATGGGTCACTCTTAGACCATTCCACTTATGGTTTTATTTAGATAGTC